CATGCATATCCCGCCTTATGTAAGAGCATGTGGCATGTGTGCTGTATTTACATATATAATTGCAATGTCGTGTTGCGTAACTGAATACGCGCTTATCACGGGAATATCAACGCCCGCTCGCCTGCCAGTCGAAGCGTAGCGCAACTGCATAAGCGGATACGTAAGCATTCATGGATTTTCGCAATGACATTTTGACAGGGTGGTGCTGAGTGGGTGGCTGGGTGGTTTGTCTGCTGAGGTGGTTGCTGCAGCTGCCAGTCTGGCGGTGGCGGCCAGCCGTCTATATACATGTATATGTATGTATATTTAATGTGAATTTAATAAAATGCTGCGGTATAAGTGTGAAAATGTTGTTAAATGCATTTCATGCATTTTGCCAGAAGGCGGCCCAGCGGATGCGGAAGTGAAATTTGCGATTGAATTGATTGAAATGTTTGGCAGCGAAATGAACGATTGAGCGATTTAATGTGTTGTGATGCAGCTGTTCGCATTGCCAGTGCCAGTGGAGCAGGCCAACAGTTTGCGTAAAATAATGTCTAAGGCACAGTTGAGTTGGTTTTTTTTTTTTGTGGAAATTGATGTGAAATGCAATTATGCGCATATAGACAAATGTATATACATATATGTATGTATGTATATTCCGGTGCCATGATGCACTGTAAAGTGCCTGTAAACATGAATGAAATTGCCTTTGCATACGCTGGCAATGGAGCTGGTGCGTCAAGAAATTGCCTTTCAAATATGCATAGTCATATGCTGGAACAAGACGCAATCTGCTGCACACTTTCAGGCGCTAAGCCTCAGCTCGTTTGCCCAACGACAGCTTGCCGGCAATTTATGCAGTCAACTTGGTCAGCAGAGGGCAGCCAGTAGAAGTGTCTCCCTCGTCGAGTCGATAACGCATACACACACACACACACTCACACTCACACAGAGTGTCTTCCTCTCGATGGCCTTAGGCCCGTGCTGTAATGTTTCTATCCTTTGGCAAATTGTTTTTCCAACAGCAGCAGCAGCAGCAGCAGCAGGACTAGCAGCGGCATTAACTGAAGCAGTTTTCAGTTAATGCTGCCATTTTTGGACTTTCCATTTCGATATAGCCTTTGGCTTCTGGCCAACATAAGCTTCGCCGCCAGCTGCTCTTTAAAGTTGACCCACGGCCTTTAGTATAACAATTTCAGAAATTTACGGCTTCTATGCAAAAATGTGCAGCTGCATTTCATTTGCATTTGGCTTGGCGCGGTCAGACAAAGGGCGAGTTTATGGCCGACATTTTATGTGCACTTCATAAAAGCACGCGTCGGCAATTAAAACGCACTTTGCGTCTCACATGGCGTATGCGTTATATTTGCCCGACCATATGCAAACAAACAACAACAATAACAACAACATTTCTGGCAGCTGCTGAATTATGTTTTGTTAGCCGAGCGCAGTTTTAATTACAATGCTTTCTCCACATCCAACTGCCGCGAAAATAATGACAGAGTCCACAAAACATTTAGCAACAAAACGAGCATTAACTAAAATCATGTGCACAAAGTTCAAAATTATATATTATTTGTTGTTGCGGCCATTGGAGAACATAATTAAAAGTCGCTGAGCTCAGATGTTAGATTATGGCCAGTTTTAATATGCAGGCAGATGTCGAAATTGAACATATGCTAATTGTAATTGTAGTCGCTAGAGGGTGAAATACAGATAGTAATTAAATTATATATTAATCATTATTATTTAATTGAATTATTATTTATATAAATTTATTTGATATATTTTATAATATATACATGTTTACATAAATTTTTGTTTGTATATCTATTTTTAATTTTTTTTTATACTTGATTCATTACGCTCTGATCAAGAGCCTTTTGTTCTCTCCATTTTGGCTTTCTGTTGAGCATTTGGGAGAGAGATGTATGATGGAAAGATGAGTAGAGAAACGATCGAAAAGTCAATACAAATTACGTTCACATACATATGCAAATACGAGCATTATCCTCGCATACATACCAATTCACACACAATAGACATTTTGCTTTGCACTTTTTTTTATTTATATTTTTGCTTTGTTTATAATTTTACGAATATTCTCTGGGGTTTGGTTATTTCTTGGCAATTTTCTAGAATATTTTTATTTAATTTATTTATTTAATTCAATTTGTATTATTTTTGCTTTTAACTTTATTGTATTTTATTTAACTTTTGTATTTATTTTCAATTTTCTGATGTTTTTAGGTTTTTGTAAAGTTTTATTATTTATTTATATATCTTTTCTTTGTATAGTTTCTATTTTCTGCCTAGCTTGTATTTCTTTGTTTTATTTATTTTTTTGTAAATTTTCGAGTTATTTGTTATTTTTCTTTGACTCTTTTTTGCAGTTGAATTTATTTTCGGTACTAAATTCGCCAAAAAACTGTTAGACAATAAAGACTATATAATTTGCTAGCGCAAGTCCCATGTGGCAAATGCAATGAAATGGGCAATTTTTACAGTAACACCAAATGCATAAACATATATACATATATCTATATATGTATGTACATATGTATTGCTTTTTTTTTTTTTTTTTTTTTTTGTCTTTTATTTATATATTTTTATATGGAATCTACACGTGGACTCCGCGCTTTGACTTTTCCAAATTGAATTTTTAAATCTGCCACCATTGTCAAGCGAACATTTGCTGTTGCTTTGGTGGCTTAAATTCTTTGGTTTCTTTTTGCTTTTTATTTCAGTTACGAGCCGTATATGTGTGTGTTTGTGTGTGTGTGGGTGGATATGTATTTGTGTGCTACTGTCAACTTTGTGGCGCCTGTCGGACGCCAAAGGCCAGCACAATTTGTGCGCATATGTAACTCGCAGGCAGCTGCAGCATAACACATAGAAAATTGCAACATCAATTCTGCAACAACGAAAAAAAAAAAAAAAAAAAACAGAAAGTGAAAAACGCAAAGATTTATTGTAAAATATGTGAGGCCATATTGTGGTTAACGTTGCATTTAAAAATTTCAACCAAAATTAACTGCAATTCGTTTTATTTTAATTGAGGTTCGCGAGCTGCGAAATGTGTTGCATACTTTTTGGCGCACACAAGAAAATCATTTTGCTGAAATAATAAATTCGTCATGATGCCGGAATAACCCACATCAAAGCTGACCTCGACATATTTGGGACACTTGCTAGGCCTCTCTCCCAACTCAGTTTGAAGGCCATTCGCTACAGCAGCTGAAACACAAACATTTTCATAAACTTAAATGCCAATTAAATAACATTAAATTGTGCGAAAAATGAACCCGAGCAACACTTCACACATAAACTGAAGAGAAAAAAGCACCAAAAACAAGGCAGAAGACCCTGTCGAAGGGCTGTCAACATGACAAAGGAAAAAATTAAGCAGCTAAACAAGGCTTTATAGAGTGAGGAGTGGGCAGCATAACCAAACAAACGAAACCAAGCCAATGGAGTCCAGGGACAAGGGAGAGCAGAGCCGCAAGCCAAACTGAATGCATAAGCCCTACGAGCATGACACTGAGAGAGCATACACAGACACATACAAGGGTGCACATATACAGAAATACATACATATATACATACATATACATTTATGTATGTATAAATACATATACAGACATCCAGAACATGCTTTGGTCTGCACAACACACAAAAGCCAAAACCAACAACATAATCTATGGGTTGTCAACAAAGAGAGAAAGAGAACGAGAGAGAGAGAGAGAGAGAGGGAGAAACCATAAAGGCGACAAAGAAAGCATCCAAAAAGAGTAAGACTCGCCGGCCCTATAAAGCGGAACAGACCAAGAGCAAACAAATTAGTATGCAAGACAGGCAGCAGATTAGGACACCAAAGTTTTCGCGACATAAACGGACAACAGTCGAGCTGACGAGCTGGCCAGCAACAGGAACGACAGCAACAACAATAGAATTTGGCTTATGCATAAAAATGCTCAGCACACACACACACATACTCACACACATACGCATACAAAATACATTTCGGGAGTATATTTTTTTGTGGGCGGCTTTGACAAAATAATGAAGTTGCTCTGTAGCTCGATCTGTTGCTTGCTTACATTAAGCCTCAAAGCAACTGAAAAATAAGGCATTGCCTAAGGTAATACATTGGATTTTTAATGACAATTTCAGGTATTTAAATAGAAAATATACAACTAGATAAAGTTGACTCTTAAGGTAGCAGAAAACTTACTAAATATAATTTATAAAAAAAAAAAATATTTATAAAATAAAACTAATATATGATTGTCTTTTTTTTAATTTATAATTAAATTAGATGTAAATAAATACGATTCGACCCTTTTTAATTTGGATAGAAAAAAAATAAATAAATAAATAATACAAATGTACATAATAACAAATTTAACTTATTTTAATAAATTCATAATTTGAAGTAATATATTTAATTAATTACTTTTATATTTTTATACGCTCTATTTAACACGTGCGCCAAAATGTCTTTCAATTTAATATTAATTTTGTTTAACTCATCCTTCGACACCATCTTTTTTATCTGAGGCATCTCCCAATAGTTGCTAAAGTTTTTGCCAAACGAGAATTTTCCCAATCCTTCATTAATCTAAATACATAAATCAACTGAACCATAGAAAATTATGTGTAAATCAGTTAGCTGTCCCAAATTGTTCATCAAAATGATATAAATATGCTAAGCAAATGAAAAAGCAATTGCAAATCAAACCAATCCGATGCGATTCGAGTTGATAAATAATGTTTGGCCTTAAGTGCCAGTGCATGTGTCTAAATAAATAAATGTATATCATATTTGTGCAGGCATTTGGCACAGTATGTTTGCTGCTCTCAAGTGAAATAAATTGCATCGCCACAGAAAATTCCAATAAAATTTTTGATTAAATTATTTGCTTGAATTTATAAACTAAATTTTATACAAATTTAATGATAATGAATATGAAGCATGAAAATCTGATGAGCTTTTTCAGAATCTAAACATTTTCGTTTAGTCTAGCGTTTTATTATAGAATTTCTGTCAGCACAGCGCTTAGAATCTATAACTGAATTTGAATAAAAAAGTCTTAAAAAACAAAATGAATTATATTTTTAAATCCTTTTCAGCAGCAACTTTTCTCATAACATTTTTCTTTGTGTTCCTGTGCGGCGCTTAATCATAACTTGTGTGTATTTATTAAAGTATGGCCAACACATATTTGCTGCCATATAATTTTCATATTTTCATACATTGTTTAAGCTGCTACGCCACCCACTTCCTGCGCTTTCTAAGCCAGCCTCGGTCTCTGTCTCTCTCTCTCTCTCTCTCTCTCTCTCTCCGTATGTGTGTGTGAGTTCTTCGACAACAATGTGTGTGCAAAACGTAAGTTTGCGTGCCAGGCGCATATAAATTAGCCGCTTATAATATTCTGTTGGCATTTTTCGAATTTCCAGTTAGCAATTTGGTTGGTTATGTATGTGTGTGTGTGAGTATGCCTAGGTGAAAGAGTTCGTACGCCGTAAAGCATGCAGCTTACGTGCTCAAGGCTTTTGCCTCTGTACCACCAGGCACCACACACACACATCAACACTCATACACTCACAAAAAATAAAATACAATTATTAACATATTAATAAATTTTAGCATATCTGAGAGGCCATAATTTCGTGTAATTCTAGACGAGCGCAGCTGGCCAACACCTCAAGGCCCAATTGCCCAAAAACAAACAGCAGCACGCCAATTTGTGTTCAGCAGAAACTCATTTTAATGGCGCACATTTTTTATTAATAATAACCTAATATAATCATTTCTGCACCCAATATTATAACAAGAGCAGTCTTTATCACATAGAAAACCAAAATATGAGGTTAGACATCTTATCAATATCAGCTGTCAACGACTTCGCCACTCTCAAGTGCTGGCACTGGTTCATTGGCTTCAATTTCGCACTCTTTGTGCCATTTATGCTGCTTACTCACAATGATGCCTACGATTAGCATGACGATGGCAATGAGCAGCAGAGCCAGACCTATAAATTGACCTATGGCGGGCAGACTTAAGCTCAGCTGGAATGGAATTGAAGGCATTGAGTGAAAAGAGAAAGCTCGATGAGAGAGAGAGAGAGCTATGATGTTAGAACTGACCTTGAGCAGGCCGATCAGATCATCAGTCAGGTCGGCGTAAAGTTGAATTGTAAAGAGCGGAGCATAGTGATCATAAGCAATATCCCTAAGCAAGCTGAAAGTTAAAATTGTGTGTAGAAAATATTAGAATATACTGAAATATGTATAAAAACTAACAAAAAAATACAAGTTTAAAATTTCACTAATAAATAATTATTAAAAAATTATAGTTTGTTATTAGATTTGAGAATATGGAATATTTAAATAATTAATTGGCTACAAATTCAATGTGGATAATTTTATAATATATTTAAAATTAAAAAAAATAAAAAAAAATAATATAAATAATAAATATTAAAAAAATAAAATAAATAAACAAATCATAATATTTCAACACACATGAACCTGACCGGCAAACAAAAAATACTTAAAGTGTAATTAATAACTATTTGTTTCATGAAAATTGATAAAACTAAGAAAATTAGGTTTTTATACCTACTACTAATTTATTGTTTTGTTAAGAATTTAAATATAATAACTAAATTGAAAATTTGTTTATGTTGTGTATGTTGAGTGGCTATGAAATCAATCTACATAACTGTATATTCCATTAAAAATAATAAAAAAGTATGCAGGAAAACTCTCGCAATTCTCTTATATTCTATGATCCTAACAGTATCGGGGACAATGAAAGGGAGAGAAATGCAAACCCAAATAGAAATTAGAATATTTAATGTGACATATGAAAAACTTGGCCATATGCCGAATATACTTTGTAGACATACAATAGTATGCAAATATAGCATCATATATGAAACCTAGATATGTGTCACAGATAGATGGTTAGCATATAGAACAAATATGCAAATATACTCACTCGATAGCCTCGTCCCGCTGCACTAGCGCACTGATCATAACTTGTCCCTTCAGGCTTAGTGGTATGCCCAGTGTCGGTTCCATTACCACATACATGCCATGCTCTGCGGGATTTGGGCGTAGGCCCGTCGTATTTCTTCTATAGTACTCATCGGTCATGTAGAAGTGCGGATGCGATACGTAAATGGGTCCGCGCTTGGCGACTGGTGAGAAATCTAGCACACCATTCAGTGGACATTCGTGTTTGGCAACACAAAAACATTTCGTATCCGGCGCCAGTTGGCCGTTGTCGAAGCTCAGCTGGCTGGTCTCGTAGCGCCAGGCAGCGATGCCCTCAACTGTGACATTCGCCATGCTGTACAGATTTATGTAGCGCGCTGCATCTGGCAAAAATATGGAAATTGTCTCGTGCCACTGGCGACCCGGCGCCCACAGCTCACCCGTGCTGCCATTGACCTTGCCGCACTCGCCCTCGTAGTAGCCCGTATGGACGCTGCCATTCCACATCTGCAGCTCGCCCATCCAACTGAGATCACCCCGACCCGTGTGTATTGTGAAATTTCCCTCGGCCGTCTTCGAATTGTTGCGCTGATAGAACCAGCCGAAATGGTCGCTAAATATGGGCAATAGCGGCGAGTGCAGACGCTCAACAAAGTCAATAAGCGAGTCGTAAAACCCATCGAATAGCCATTGTCCGGCCGTATGTCTCATGTAGGTGCCACCACCCTCACGATTCAGCGCAAAGTTCATAATCTTGCGCAGCGTGCGACGCTTTCTGCGCACATAGCGGGCGGCCGTCTGCAGTTTTCGCGATAAATAAATACATATTTTGTGTAAAAATAGCAGACAGGGATAACTAAAATAGGCATATTTAGGGGGAATGACACTAACGTAATGCTGACATTTTTGCCTTGGCATCACATAGAAAAATTCAATATTTAAAGAAATTTTGTTAGTGCATTCAGCAATTAAAGATTGCCGAAAATTAAATAAATAGATGTTAAATTTAAAGTAAGATATCAATTCATTAAGGAACTGTAGCATAAGTAAAATATTTCATGTTATTTTTGAGACTTCAGAATAATATTATATATTATTTATATTATTTAAAACCATTTTTTATGTTAGAAAAGATATCAAATTTAACTGTTTATATAGACCTAAAACATGCTCACAATAATTGTGCTCAAAGTCCAATTCACCCCAACATATTCTTTTTCAATTCTACTCACCAGTGTTGGAAAGTGCGGCGTCACAATGACATCGTCTAGACTGCCATTTGATTTTTCTGGCAAAAAATGCCAGACTCGACGTCCGTAATAGGTAACCTCCGGCTGCTGCCACACCAGGTCCACTTTCTCCTTATAGTCGCTGAACGTGTAGGGGCCCAGCTGTTCGAAATTCGGTTTCACTGCAGCATTATTTAAGTCCTCCGGATTGGTCCAATTGAAGAGATAGAACGTTGTAAACGCCGGTGTCGGTGTCGTCACCCAGGACTTGTATATGAAGGAGTTGGGAGCCAATGGCAGCAGGCCACGCACCAATTGACGACACAAGCTGGGCCAGGCCGAAAGCAAAGCAGTTCCCACTAACAGCAAAAAGCCGCCCAGGCCAAAGACCCAGAGCTTCTGTTGGCGCACACTGCAGCAGTCGCAACACATTTTGCAACTGATTGGGAAAGTTGCCATTGCGTGTACAAATAATTAGAATTTGATTAACACATATACTATATGTATGTATTTGCGATATTCTTTTAATCGGTTAAGCAAAATTGTTGTTCTAAGTAGATGCTAAGTTTCTTTATAGTATTCATTGCTTTAAGCTGATAGCGACTAATTTGATCACTAGGTTAATCAGCCACTCTTGTCTATTTTTAGATTTGCCACCTGTGAGTAAATTGATATCTAAATGCTGCATAGCTATGGGCTGGCTAAAGGTTTTGTCTCTGCTTGGCCATGCCTATAAAGACCACTATTGGGGTTTCTACTGTCGCCTGTGTTTATGTAGCACTATTTCTATCCAACCTATGATAAAGACACTTCGTACTCAGCAGCAATAACATCACAAAGACATACCTTTTAGAGAGCGTTTTTATTTGAAATATTGATTTTCTTTGGTTAAATGATACCAATATAAATAATAAATAAATATAAAAATTTCTCTTCCATGAGTAGAAAAATAGAAATAGAAATAAAGAAGAGAAAATACCATTTTAATCTCTCTTCATAAAATAAAATTACTTTAAAGGTTTATTAAATTGCTGTTCCATAATTTATCAAATTTAATTTTATTTTTATAATAATAATTATTTGTAAATTTAGAAAAATAAATAAACAAGTCACAACCGAAAAATCACATTTGCTCTATTTGTCGTATAAATATTGCTTGAAAAGAGTCCGCAGCTTTTTGGATTAGCTTAATTGCCTTTTTATTGGTCAGCTCTAATTGAGTCATTTGTGTGCTGCGTATCGGAATTGATAAGCGCCAACTTATCAGCGGCTGCCTGACCATACCACTTGCGTTTGAGGGTGAGGAAAATTCCTACAGCCAAAAGGATGCAGCCCAAGCAGAGAAAACCAATGCCCGTATAGCATCCAATCGAAGGTAGATTTAGAGCCAGCTATAAAGAAATGTCATGAATGAGCTGCAAGGGAACTTAAGTGCCATATATTTACCTTCAGCTCTGCGGCCAGTTCTTTGTTGATAACAGCTGAGCTGGAGGATGTGAAGAGTGGCGCATAGAAGGACGGGATGCCCTTCAAGATGCTGTGTGTGTTAAATTACATGGTTTAGGTACCTCTGAAATATCTCTATAAATAGATTCCAAACTCACTCAATGTCCTTATCCGGCTCGATTAGGAGTGAGATCATGACAGCTGCATTCACCTCTAGAGGAACACCCATTTTGCGCTCCATTATGATGAAGAAATTGTGACGCTCGTAGTCCGGCTGAAAGCCATTTACAGTGCTCGAATAACTCTCGTCCGCGTACATGAAATGATCTGCCGAGAGATACATTGGCGCCCCATCGCCACAGGGGCCCAAATCGGTGGCGCCCGAGGCTGGACAATTATTGGGCTGCCTGTCGACGGGACAATAGCATTTCATGTTTCCATTTCGTTGTCCATTATCAAAGGTGTGTGGCGTCACCTCGTACTTCCAGCCCTGAATGCCCTCAATCTCGTAGCTCTGACCCGTGTACTCCAAATTGATAATGCGACAAGTATCGGTTATGTATATGGTAAGCGCCTTTTCCTTCGGCTCATCGGGCACAAAGAGGTCTGAGGTGCTGCCATTCAGGCGTCCGCACTCACCCTCATACCAGCCCGTATGATTGACACCATTCCAGAATTTAATTTCGCCCATTTCTTTGATTGAGCCGACGCCCGTGTGCACGGTGAAGACGCCCTCAAAATTCTCCGAGTTGTTTCGATTCAGAAACCACGCGAATTGGTCTGTCTCCACTGGCGGCACCAAGGGATTGTTCAAGGACATGGCATAATGCAAAAACTCATCGTAGAAACCATCGAAGAGCCACTCGCTGGCCGTGTGGGTCACATACAGTGCACCGCCGTTGGCATTGAGGGCAATGTTGAAACCCGCTTTAATTGGCTTGAGACTATCGCGTATGGAAGCCGCCGCAGCCTGAAATGCAATGAGTATCGTCTATAGGTATTACATTTCTTTTGGCACTTTCGCTGGGAGTACTCACAATGGATGGCAGATGAGGCACAGTGACCAGGTCTGTTTGCTTGCCCCCGGACATTTGCTCCTCCCAGAACCAGGTGCGACGCGGCTTGAACGTAACTGTATTGTTCGCATGCCACTGCAAATCCATTTTCAGGCGCTCCTCGCGGTAGACATACGGTCCGACCTGTTGGAAATTTGGCTTAACGCCATGCAACTTTACCTCCTCCGCGTTCGTCCAGTTCCACAGATACATTTTCATATAGACGGGTATGGGCAGCTGTTCCCATTTGTCAAATGTCTTCGATGTCGGCGTCAGGGGCAGAGACTAAGTGTGTAAGTGTCCAAGTATGTATTAGAATGCATATGCAGAGAAATTCGAGATCAACCTGCCTTCATAACAATATCATCGATTATATCGGGCCACCAGATTATAAAAAATAGACCCGATACGGCAAACAGTACTCCAAGGCCAAAGACCCAGGCCTTCTGTTGGGTCACTCCACAGCAGCGACAGCACATCGCGACGTCTGCATTCGAAATGCCTTCAATGAAAGCCAATTTTAGTTTGTTAACTATTCTAATATTGCTTAATCGCAGCTAGGCCTCTCTCTCTCTCTCTCTCTCTCTTTTCGTATGCAATAATCGCAGTTTAACTATAATCTGTTTTATTTTATTTTTTTTTTTATTACTCACTTTTAATGGCCCTCTCGAAATTTATTAGTCTATGCATAGCCGCGGTTGGCCAGATGTGCGAGCCATGCACTCCATGAAACTCAACAAGTCTGATAGGATTTCAGGGTTACCATGCTTATCAATGGCACGATTAGCGGTAGTCTAAAAGCTTACTCATAAGTAACTGGCAACAGACGACAATGCCCTCAGACAAAGCGAATTTAATGGTAATTATCAGAGTTTTATGATCGAATTTGAGTGCGAAAATTATAATATAAATTGGATTCTTCATTAAGTTTGTAGCTACTTAGGCAATCGGTACAACAACTTATATAATCAACAACTGTTATACTTAGCAACTGATTATATAGCAGCTGTTATATGAGTTGAGCCTAGAAACTGTTATTCGAATGTAATATTCAACAACTGAAAACATGAAAACAGTTATAATGGACAATTTTTTATACTTCGCAATAAGAATACTTAGCGACTGTTATTTTGTTAACATCTTCTACTTAACAATGATAATGATATTTATCAACTGTTATACATTAAAAAGTTATATTCTTCAAAGCAATAATTGTTAGTAATTCTTTTGGCTACCGAAAATATCTTAGCCCCCTATCAGTTTTACTTAATCAGTCTTCATTTTTAACTGTCTTCATTTTGCTTGACAAGTGCTATAACTTATAACTGTTATACTCAAAATTACTTAACTATACTTACTTACTTACTTCAACTTCATCCAAATTGTTAAATTCATGATTGTACGCCATTCGATTTCGATTCTCAACTATGCATCATTACACTATCCTGATTGCAATTATAACTTGGTTGCCAAGCCTAGCAACAAAACGCATTATTACGGTAAACACTTAACCACACACAGAGAAGCAAACACATGCTTCGCCAGAATGGATTATGTATAATTCCACCACAGATGCCACATGGGTCGGTAGCTCAACATGAGAATTGCTGGAGATTATGCATTTATTCAAGTGCATTTTGGCAAGCAAATGCAAGTGCAACTGCAACTGCGAGTGCAACTGCTGCATATGGAATTAATATGCCCCTTGTTTATAATGCAACATATTGGCCAGGCTGCCAAAATCAATATGCTATATGCTAATCGCAATGTTTACTTTTGCGGCTACCTGTATTTCAATTAATCTCTGCCTCGCAACATCAGCCAAATTAAAGTAAACCAATGCATCGATGCGGCTGGCACTTTACGCAAATTCAATAGCAATTGGCAGTTCTAAATGCCAATCGAATGTTTAATTACAACAGCAGGTAAAAATATTGAGCTATGTAGACCTTGAATGCATTAATTACTCGCCTCTGCCTTTGTGTGCCACTCGATTAGCTTATCTTGACTTGATTAAACGAGGTGTAACATAAATATAGTTAGACCCGAGAAACCTAATTGCACTAGCAACTGCTGTTATCAGCCAAAAAAAAAAAAAAATATTATAAGTGGCTTAACATTTTGACAACATAATTGAAATGGGTGTGTGCGGAGCCGAGTGACTAAATAAATAAAGTAAATAAATAGTTGTTTATAGCTAGAAAATAAAAATAGTGGAGTGATACTTTTACTGCGACTAATCTCTATATCTAAAGCTTTTGGGAAATTCGTATACATGTTTGCAATGGAATCAAATTTTTTAAGATTTTAATTGCCGCTCACATTTCCAGTATAATTATTACTGGCTCTACCTATATACCTATATATACCTGTAAATATTTGACTTTTATTTTCTGGCTTAAAAAGGAAGCAAATTTGAATCCATTTTTATTTCACATTCGAATTCTTTAGCTGCTTAAAACTCTTATTCACAGGAAATTTTTTTTTTATTGATTTTGATTGATAACATAAAATATAAGTTGTATTTATAGCGATTACATACACATACACACATATATTGAAAATAGGTTTGTTAGTTTACGAAAAGTTACGACGACTGCAGACTTCAGAACATTTCAGCAACATCAGCTTTGTTTAGTTTTGTTTGTTAATAATACCATATAACAGTTTGATTAAGTTTTATTCTTTCTAAATAAATATATGCACTTTGTATTCGTTTTTGGTGGAGGTAGCTGCATTTTTTTTTTGGCTTAGGCCTCAACGGAGCCTTCAGCTTCCAACTGAGCCTTGCGGCTGGGCTGTATGAGAGACAGAGAGAGAGAGAGAGAGAGAAAGAGAGGGAGAGAATGTTATCGATTTGGTTTATTGTTTGGTTTTTGGTAATAACTACCTTGGGATGCATGAGTATGAAGGGCAGCTCGGCGCATAGCTCGCCGCCCAGAGCGCCCAGGAAGAGCTTCACCTTGACCGCATAGGAAACAATGATGCCGAAGGCATCGCGAGCATCCTGACTGGCAATGCTGTGAATGTCAAAATTAAAGTTGAAGTGCTGGCAGGACCTTTGGGTGTTCTTCAGCTTACAGTGTGGTGGAGGCCAGTGCGGTGTCCTTGCGTTTGATGTCGCCCTCGACGGCAATGCCAGCGCGATCGCAGTTGGCCACCAGCGTGGGCACCAGATACATGACCTTCTGCAGGCTGGAGCCCGGATTCAGTGGGCAACCCTCGCTGGTCTCCATGAAGGCAATCGTGTTGCGGAACTGTCCATTCTGGAAGAGTACCACATCGACGCCCTGCTGCACCATGGCCTTGATCTTCTTCACAACCTTGTTCGAGTTATTGCGCACGCAAATGTTCACCGATATCTTCTCGCCATGATGGTAGAGCTGCTTGTCCAGGGTCACCTCCAGCTCCAGCTCTCCGGGCGACAGCAGGAAGTCCTTGCGCACCACTGTGCACGGCTGCAAGCCCTGCTTGGTGGGTGCATACTGCACCTTGCGTATGCCCAGATTGATGGTGCTGCGACGATGCGAGCGATCGCAATCGTTGTCGCCCGTAAAGACCTTCACGAAGTACTGCACACCACAGGGCTGGCTCTCGTCGCTGGCCTTCTGCTGCAGCACCACCGAGGCGGGTGAGCTGGTGGGCATTTGCATGACAAAGGGGATGGCATTGGAGCCGAGCTTCTTGAGCAGACGCTCCTGCATCTTGGTCAGCTGGATGTCCTGCTTCTGTTGCGGGTACACCTGCTGCGAGACGAGCGTCAGCTCCTTCTGGAAACGCAATCCAATCATTTCATCATCCTCGCGTCCGTACCGAAAGTTGCAGACGAGCTGCACGAAGATCTTGCGATTCTGTCGCACGTACTCATCGTCCAGCACAATGATGCCATCTGCAAATGGACATGCGAAATTAATTGGACTAGACCTGACCGGAAATACGCCCACCACCACGGCCACGCCCCGACACGTGTTTCGGCCAACTATTCCACGCTCGAACAATTAACACGTAACTAATAAGCAGCTTTGTGGCTGCCACAGCTGCCTCTGCCCCATTGCATAAATTAGAACGTAATTTAATTAAAGCCCAACCAGATCAACTGATTAAGTCTTGTACGTATGCTTAGGTGAAATCGTTAATTCTATCTAAAATCTAGTGGATAATCATTATGCCTAGAGCTATATAATCAATCCATGAATATATTGTCAAATATATAAGGCTTTATTTCCTTACTATCTGTATGGACTTAAGAAATTCAGAAGTTGAATAAAACATGGAAATTTGAAGCTTAATTACGCTTGATTGACTTTTATAAAATCTACAAATTATGAGTTAGTAATAAATGATCATTATTTATTTTAAGAAAAAATTGTTAAAATTGAATTTATAGAAATTTGTTTTACAATATTTTTTATTTTTTGATTTTAAGCATTAAAAATCGTTTTAAAAAATAAAAGCAAATAATTTAAAATTCAACTTCAATTTTAAAATTGATTTTTTTGTTTTTTTTTTTTTTTTATATATATTCTTAAATTTTATTTTAAGTTAAAAATTCTTTAATTCTTTTCCAGTAATATTTATTAAAAAATAAAAACCAATTTTATGATTTTTTTTTTTTTATTTTGAAATATTTATTCAGTGTTATGTTATATTTCTTTAAATATAAACACTTTTCTATATCACGCCTATAGTTGTTACCACTGTGAAATATTTCTTGACTTTTATAAATAATATTTACTTAAATGGAAGCACTTAATAAATTATTTCTTTGTTACACAAAACTCGAGCAAACAAATAATGATCTGAGTAATATTTGATCTGATCTTCGCGTGTGTTTTTATTATGTTTCATCATAATCCATCATAACCACCGATAACCACCTACCGATTGGTTCCACCTGTGTCACCGAATCCACAAACTCACGCCTATTCATATAGAGCGTGATCATGTTGTTCGGCGCACATTTTTTAAACACTTTGAAGTTAACAACCATTTTGCTGAAATTGTTTGTTTTGTTTCGATTCTTTCGTTATACAATCCCCAAAAAAAATGTGTGCTATCGCGCACGCCTCGTTTATTTGTATTGTTTGTCAAATTTTGAACTACGCCGCGTTGCGTTGTTCGCGTCGTTTTCAATTAGCGGCCAGCGACAATCCGTCATTTATACCTGGCATTCGCAGTGCCGTGGTGCAAATTCAATTAGCTCGCTTTGCTGCATATTTCTGGCAATCTAAAGAATGCACTGGCGTTGCGGTCATAGGGCTTCGTTGGCGGTGGCGGTGGTGCTGCGGCTGGCCTATGCCTGTGCCTTTGATATTGACATTGCCCGAGCCCAGAGCGAAATAAATCGATGGGTCGGCCATTAAATAATACGCGCACTACATGGCGTATTAGCAATGCAAAAATAGCTAACTTAACAAAATCAATAAGGCGTGCGTGCAACAGTGTTCAGCCTTCAGCTTCGAATCCGTCTCACTTCATTATTTTACGCCAGTCTTGAGGCATGGTGCCTGACGCATGCGAAATTTATTACGTATACGCACAGACTTGTGGCGTAATTTGAGCTAATTAAATTGTTAGCGAGTGAAGGCAAATATTTGTTAGAATTTAATATAACTATTTAATGACAGAAAAAAGAATTTGTTAGCTGGCAGAAGAGAAATGTTTTAATAATAAAAGTGGCTAAAAATGAAGAACAACCTTTGGAGAAAGGGTAAAAAAAACAAAATTTTGGCTAAATATACCTTATATATATAATTTTAATGTGCTCTTTAACATAATATCACAATATATATTTATGAATGATGGTATGAAAAGATTTGTTAATTTAAATATAAAAATTTGACATATTCATTTTCATTATTCATATTGATAAATTTAATATTGTTTTTTTTTTTTTTTTTGGTTTGCTTTTTTTTTTTTATTGCTTTAATATAAAAAAAACAAGTAAGAACGTTGCAGTCGGGCGTTACCGACTGCGGAATACTCATTCACATCCCATCAACAATTTAGTAGTTAAGTTTCGCTCTAATACTGTAGAATATACAGGTTTTTCCGATTTGCCACGCCCCTAGTGGGCGGATCGGGAAAATTTTAACACTTTATAAATCGGAGATATACACGAGTATGTGTTCCAAATTTCAAGTCTCTAGCTTCAATAGCGCCGAAATAGATTGCGTTCATACGGACAGACGGACAGACGGACAGACGGACGGACGGACAGACGGACAGACGGACGGACAGCAAGACGGACATTGCACAAAACCAATATACTGATTCACTTTCGTGAATGAGTATAAAAAAGAAATCAATTTAGAGAAACAGCGCAAATCCACATGAGGCTTTTCGTAAGTATCATTGAACTTTTAAGTTTGCCCACTGGAGCATTAAGTCTACAAAGTTTCTAAGATATTGCGACAATATTTCATAAGCAACGAATATGTTGTAAAGTATTTTAATTGGACAGCCCAAAGCTGGCCACATAAAGGGAATTCAAAGTGTCCTCTCTTAAATATTCTAAATAATTCAAGCCTGTTTCACGAATGTGCAGACACACTTGAGTCAGTGCATTGAATAATGTATGTAAAAATATGCCAGACTCTGGGCACAGAGACTCGCTCGTCCTTACTCAACTAAATCACATTAACATAAAGTTGGCTACTTAGCAAAGTCAATGAACGTAATTATTATGCTCTCCACTGACATTAAAAAAAAAAAAAAAAAACAAAAAATAGAAGAAAATATGAACAAAGTTCTGTCGACTATATGCATATATACATATTCCGGCTTGTTGTGTGGTTGTAGTGCGGCACGTAACATTAGCATGTGTGTTGGGCTGGGGCACTGAGCAGTGTCTGGTCGCTCGGGTCCAACAAAACCGACAATGAGGCTCTTAATAATAGCAAAACTTTAGCACTTACATTGTGTGCTTCGGCCGGGGCCGAGGCTGGGGCTGGTGATGGGTGTGTCTGAATGACCATTTAAATGCTTTAGCTGGCACATAATTGAACTAAAGTGAGGCGTAGATATTATCGTGCATGGCTGATGCAATGCTCGAGCAATGTGGCGAGTGCCTGATTTATAAGTGTTACAAGTATCAATAGCTAGTATGTGCCTTAGACTCTATAGATGCACTCGGGATTCATCAAGTTTACAGATCAATCAAGCGCCGGCAGACTGCAACTTAAGTGCTGTTGGCCGGCACAAAAGCTGTCTATGGTAATTCATGGCATACATTTACATATATGTACATATGTATACATATGTGCACATGCTCCTACTCACTGGGCAAGACTTCGCGCTACAATGACAACCACAAAGCTTCAGCAACAACAAGGCCAACTTCAATTATCTGCACGCATTGGCGCCTCTCAGCGTCTGCCAAGCTCTCATTCGCTATTCCTTTTAGCCTCAAAGTGGCAATCCTTTGGCCAACATTTCATTTGAGACTTGAGTAGCTATTGAAATATTAAAGTTTAGGTAGAAGGCAGTAAAGCACTTTAATTGAATTTAATTCGTGCAGATATCCGAACAGGTCTTTCCTTAGTGAAATAATAGTAAATGTAATTAGTTAATCAATCAAATGCAGCTAGTTAAGAGCTTAATAGTGAAACTGCAGAGAATATGCAGTTTTAGCTATAATTTGTCAATTTAGCTGTTTCTGGCTAGAAGTTTGAATATGAAGAGAAATGTGGCTTCAAGGCGAAAGTTACTTTATATCTTTATTAATTTATTTTTATTTTTATTAATTTATATTATTTATATATTTTTATAATTTTTATTTTACTTTTTTTAATTACTTTATATAATTTATTTAACTAAATGAGATAGAATTTATTAAATTGGAGTCCAAACGACTCAGGATACCATTCCTGGAAACAGTCTCATTCTAGGTATCCCGGCTCTGCAATTGTCGGCTCATTATAGACTAGAATCAACAATAAGGAACTCCGGAATTCTCTCCATATTTCCGCTATAACTAAGCACAAATCATTGTGATACTGATGTAGCTGGCTTCAACTGTGGCGACTATATTGAAATGGAATTTGAAAATTGAAAGCAGTTGCACAATTAGATTGAAATGCATACACACACACACACACACACACACACACACAAATACATACACACACGCATACATATACACACCCATACACTGGCTCTTTTGAGCCAGTTGCAGCTAATTTGACGCAATTCAATTGCCTGTTGCAAGACAAAAGCTAAAGCCAAATTGTGCTGAGCAATCAATGAGATTGCCACATCCTCAAACTGCCGCCAAGTGCAATTGTCGTTGGCCGAATTGGCGAATTGGGCGCACCCACTGCAGGCGCTGACGCCAGCCAGCGAATCCATTCAAGTACACTAGGCATAGGCGGCTTTTGGCTGAAAATGAAGCCAGCTTAAAGAGCAGGCCTTTTAGCCGAAGCGCTAATATTGATGAGTGGCACGTACGCGGTGGTAGCTATAAATTTATGGGCCAGTTGGACAAATTGAACATCAGTTTTGTCTATAGCATTACGATTATCCAGGGCCAACAGCACGTAAAATTGCAGCGAAACCAAAAACAACATCAAATTCTTCTTGTCTCATTGAAGGCGAAAGGCAAACAACACAAAATAAGAAGGAGAAAAAAGAAAAAAGAAGACAAAAATTGGCAACATTGGCGCCAACACAAATGTCACCAGCGACAGCAGCAACAACAACAACTGCAACAAGGCAAAGAGGTATGCTCAGCTAGGCGATACCCTGTAGATGGAGACAGGCATAAAGCATGCTAAAGTGAGTAAATAAAGGTTAGATGAGATGTTGTAGATGCAAGAGCTGGCCGAGAGACTGAATACTCACTTGAGGTTAATGGTTGAAGAGCAATTGGCTTGGGATAAAACATATCAGGTTGTCTCTAGCAACTTTCAAATTATTTGTCTGCACAATTTTTCAATTTTTAAAATTACATATTTTCTATTCAATTTCAACTTAATGAATGGTGTTTGGCAATAATTTAAGAGTTTAGACTAAGAAATAGGCCTTTTCTACTTAGATATTTATTTACAAACATGACATATGGCATATTCATACATTGTTTATAAAACTTGATTACTATATAGAGTAGTAGGGTATACAAGAACTGTAGAAAATGTGAAGTTTAAATCAGAAACTCAAGGCAAATCTAATTGAAGGCAACAGATTTATTTATTGATTTTCTAATATGTATAATAGGTCAATATATTCATATATCCATAGAGCTATAGAAATATATAGGTGAAACTCTAAGTATGTTTACTATATCAATTGCAGACAATTACATTTTTTTTTTTTTTGCTAAGTAAATATATTACATTGTATTCGATTATATACTCTACCGGCTTAATAACTCCTGCAACCTTGCCACTGTTGCATGCATTGCTACAATTGCCATTCACCCCAAGCTTGTGCCCATTTTTAATGGGTATCGTTTGTTACGGCAACATTTGTGGAGGGTTCAGGCAACACCAACAAACGGCAATCAACGTTGTCGCAGTCGCTTCCATTTCCAGTTGCCATTAGTTGAAGGAAACAGCCAGACCTCCTGGCAAGGCGAAAAAAAAAAAAAAAACCGAGGCAGCCAAGAATCCTCAAGTGCTGCATGAGCGAACTTTGGCAGGCGGGCAACGTGAGGCAAGCAGCGGGACGAAGCATACGACGTCAGCGTCGTGGCTGACGATGTGCAAACTGGCGAAGTGACAGCAAATGGCGCGGAAACTGTGTGCGCCAACGTCAACTAATCGTGGGTGAACAAATCTCACTATATATCTAACACACACACACACAGAGGGGTAAATAAATACATACATAGAAATATGGACAAGTGTACTTGTGTGTGTGTCTGCCCGTCAGGTGTTTACTGTTATGGCCTCGGCAACCGGGCCTGCTGCCACTCGACTGCAAATGGTGCTTGCCACGCCCCATACGACCATACCACAGGCGTCATGGTCATGCAATGATTGCTTTGACATTTGCATTGATGCGTGCAGCGCCAATTACAGCAGCGGCAGCAGCAGAGACAGCGGCAGAGACAGCGGCAGAGCGTCTGTGGCCACTGTTGATGAGCTGACTTTGAGCTGCAAATACTGAAATCGAATTCAATTGCAATGCCACAAGCAA